CTGGGAAATGGGGGGAGAGAGAAAGGGAGAAGAGTATGTTAAAAGTGGCTAGTCTTTCTACATTCAGTACTCAATTAAGGTTCCAACAAAGAAAGTGGCATTCTCCATTCCTATTCTGAGTTGAAAGTGTTTTTATAGACACTCATTAAAACTCCCAGACCTTCTTTAGAATAAAAAATAGTATTCTGCACAGCATATCTCTTTAGCAGAGGGGGAAAGCTAGGTAGCAAAGTTCCAGTTTAATGTTTATTAAAACACAAATTAAAATAAAGTCTGCTCCACCCTCTCTGGGGAAACTATTTCCACCCTTCACTGAGTTCCTCCCCTTTATGTAAAGGATGTTAATGAAACTTGTCCTATCAGGTGATCGATCTGACAAATTACCCCACCCATGTATTTCCACCATTTAGACAGGTAACCCTAGTTTTTCAAGACATAGCAGGTGAAGTTAATAGCATATCAACCTTTCTATTATTTCTCTTAGCTAAAACGGAGCAAACACAAGGGGAAAGGGATGTCAGTCTACAACACTTTTAAAAGTACAAACACATGGAAAAGAATTTTTATAATAACACAAAACATAAATAAATTGAATTATACTTCTTTAAAACAGAAGTCAGGTAAAGATTTTGAAAGCAAACCTATGAACATAAAACTCCAATGGAAAACCTGCATTAAATATGAAGGATGCAAAAGTAATAATGTGTTCAGCAATTTTTGCAACCTCACAAGCCACAGTAGATACAAAATTTAAGCAAAAGGGTCTCTGACCTTCTTAACCTTAGCCGAGTTTAGATCCACCCCCAGAACTCCCTTCCTGCCTAGTGTGAATGTAATTAAGGGGAAGCTGCAGTGGTAATTTCTCTCCTCATTAACTTCCTGATTGGTTTCAGCCTCAGGATTCTGCCGGGCAGTAGTTTGTCACCAATTCCAAATGGCCAATCGTTAATACTAATGTTTGTGTAACTAACTGCCAGCATCTGCCACGGCTTCTTGTACAACAATAATGGTGAAAGGGTACATTAGTGCTCCTGTGTTAATTCAGCTTGTGTTCATCAATAGGGAAATCTATGATGTAATTAGCAAAATGCATTGGGAGCTGAGTGCTGAAGTCATTTGTAGAGAACTAAATCATAGTAGAAGCTGTACTGAGTCCTGATGTGTTTGCCATCAATACTTATTATGTTTGGAATTTAATAAGGTATATTACCATGTTGAAAAGAGACCTTTTTACAAGAGAACACTATTTACGCTTGTTATGGGTTTGGAAAAGGTTTGCTGCAGTTCATGGAACCACACAGAAATGAAAACACAGAGCTGGGATGTAGGAAGAGGACCTTTAAACCACTCCACTGGACCAAATTATTTCAGAAAGCCCCTTTCCTCCAATGTGGCATATGGACAGACAGACAGACAGATGGATAGTTTTGTATAGCTACTTCAATATCCAATAAGGAAAGGGATAATCTGAAAATTCAGTAAATGAATAAAAGTGAAAAGCAATTTAGGCAAATTCCTGACAAATATTTATATTGATGGTATTTGTTTAGTCTTTAATAACTTAAATAAAAAGCAAGAGATGACTTTGTAAGCTTAAAAAGGGGGAAACATAATTTTTTTTTACTTTTAAGGGGAAAGAGACATTAAGTAGTATTTTATAGTTGCCAAAAATGTGTGTACATGCATGTGTAAATATAACAACCAAACAAAAGAGAAACCTAGGAAATCTGAAGCTTTCATCTTACTAAAATTCACAAAGCCTTCTTACTAAATTTGTATTGTTGCAGGGGTTTTAAATTTCCAGAAAATCCAGGGTGATTTATGAATTGTGTGTACATGCGCCTGGTTATTATATATATGTACAGAAAAATGTTTTCCAAAGGCAATAGACTTTGCTTTGAGATTTTGTTACTGCACAGATCTGGAGAGCCAATAAGAGTTTTCTGTAGAGTCTAAGTCATTCTGCCACCCCCACCCCAAACCAGTTACAGTTTCTGTGTACAGAAGCTATGGGGAAGAGAGTGAACATTTACTGCCACGTACATTAATGAAGTCATTTCACCCTCTAGCCATTCACTTAGAGAATCACTCTCCCCATTTCACATAGGGGACTCTGTGAAAGCTGTCAAGGGCAGCAAAGCACTGATTAGCCTGACTCTTTCTGGCATGCTCTTCTCCTGGCACCAACCTACCCTTGGGACCCACATTTAGGAACTGGTTACATTGAACTTTCTCAATCCCCTTGTGAGTTAAGGAGGCAAAATAACTGACCCTTGTCAGACTATGCAGAGACTACAAAGGAATAGGTAATGCTCTCCCAACATGTTCTGGGCCCTGGGCCTGCCTTCTTCCTTCAGTTAGAAGCTGACCTAGGAGATGTGCTCTCCACATTAGCCAACTTGAGACTAAAAAAGGGAGAAGTGGGAATTTTGCAAAATAAAGAAATTTGGGAATAGCCCTCTTTTGCTCTCACTTGCCTTGTGGGTATTTTCTTGGAAAGTTTTATTGTGACTTGGGGCTACAAGTCATGCAGAGTATGTTACCCGCGTTGACCAGGGAAGCTGGAAGCATACTTAACACATGACTGTACTCTAGAAAAGATGTAAATAAATGAACTAAACCTGGTTTGAAAAACACCTGTATTTTTTAAAAGTGTTTCTCCACTCAGAATTTGAACCTGTCTTATTTTTACGTTTGTTCAAGGCTTAGCACTGTCTTTGAGTAACAGGCTGCTGAAGTCAGGGACAGTATCTGTTTAACTCATTTTGTCTAGCACCTCATAAAGGTCCCAAGTGCATAAAAAGATTTAGTGGTTTTTCTTCCCTTATTTACGAATGTCCAAAATCTATTTTACTACTATCCTTAAGTACAGTCCCTCAAGGTGCCTTCGCCATTGTAATTCAGCTCCCTTAAATTTTTGGAAGGAGAAGAGCAATACTAGATCATTATAAATTATTTTATATCAATTAAAAGTTCAAAAATCAAAAAGATCCTTTATACTTTTTAAGTCGATTCTAAGGGGTCCTACACAAGGCTAATTTGATCTTTTAAAATATTTGTCTTAATCATTTTGTAAAAATGCTAACAGATAGTATTGGTAGCACTAGAAATTGGTTCAATCTTTCTGGACAGCAGTCTAGTGACATGTAATAAGAACCATAAAACTGTTCAGCCCCTCTGACCTGGTAATTCCACTCCAGGGAATCACCCCAAAGAAAAAGAATAATTGGCCCTGAGATGCTCAACACACCGCTATCTGCATCAGTGAAGATGTTAGTGCTTGGTTGTTCTGTTTGGGGAAGGGGGGTGAAGGGAACTGCATTGGGACTGGGGGGCAGGAAGCATTCACAGGCAATAAACAATTAAGGATTATGCTATCCTGTAATCAGCGATAGCCTCCCGGCATTTCCAGAAATGGAAGAAATGAAAGAAATGACTCCTGGAGACCAAACTGAAGACTGACTGAAAACTAAGGAAAAGAAAAACTTGCCTGTCTTTTTTCGTGTTAAAATGTAGGTGGGTAAACCTCCGAGGCTGACCCTTGTTTGAACCAACAAGTCTAATATCTGTTTTCTCTCAAGAAGACTATTTGTCTACAGCAGCTTTTCATTTTTTTTTAAGGAAAGAAAGGGCTTTTCTTTCATTATTATTTAAAAACAAACAAACAAAAACGTTACACATAATCATTCCTACCAATGCAGAAATAAAACACATTAAGATAATTTTGGTGACGCCATCTAACCATTAGTATTCTTTTTGAGAAATATTATATACTGCCAAAAAATTTTTTAAACGCTCTAGAAAAACAAAATAAAAACCACTCTAAGTGCTAAGTCTTTTGACATTGCAAAGACCCCTGACTTTTAACTTGAATGATCTGTTGGAAGTCAATGGACTGGAACGAATAATTCTCTTCCAGTGATGTGAGAAAACAGGATATTCAAGCTTGAAAAACATTTTTTCTTCTACATGTTAAATACTATTAAACTCTCACTAAGAAATCATTTTAAAATAAAAAGCAAATGGCATTCTTCAATTGTTAGCAACTATTCACTTAGATGCTAGTCGAATGCCAAGGAAGACAAACAAACGTGTTGGCCTCTTCAGTTTCCTGGAATTTGCAAGGAGTAAGAGTCTGATGAAAAGCTGATGAAAATTTCTTAAACAACAAATTCTTCTGCTTCGTGATAACCATAGTGTTTGGAAATAAAATCATTTCCAATCAATACCACTTAGCAGATATTTGATGTTTCACAATAGAACTCTTTTCTAAAGTGAAACTGCTGCCCTTCTAACATTTAAAATAATTAGGATTATCTTAGCTGTCCGAAGCTTGGCAGGTTCAGTATGTACTTTCAAACAGCATTAATTCTTGGCACTCAGAACAAGGGATAAAAGGTAAAGATATGAATGGAGATCTTTATTCCACCTGATCTATCATGGATTAGCTCATTCTTTTCCAGTTCATGCCTGCACTCTAGTTAAGAAGAAGGCTGAGCTGTAACTGATGTAATTAGAAACCACAAGCTGAGAAAAAAATAGCCCTTTAGTAATCTCCCCCATTTACTATAAATTTACTAAAAAAGTAATGATCTTTGAAACAATTAAATGTGTTTTTCCCCCTGAGTGGAATCAAAGAGTAGTGATGAGAGAGAGGAACATAGGATTATGCCTTCCTTAAAACCATATGTTAGTTATCAGTTCTAAAATCTAACACCAGGTTTGGAGAAGGCTAGCTCTGCGCTTTGCATATGGTAGAGAGAAGTGGCAATCCACGGTCAACGGTCAACGAGAGCTCCCGCGGATGGAATCAGGGAAATTATCTGTGTTTCCTCCTTGATAACATCCATCACAACCTCTGCAAACACTGGGAAATAGCGTACTTGAAAAACTAGACGAACTTAGAATAACAAGTCCATATTTATGCAGCACTTAATGGTACCTCTTTCCCTCTAAATTTCATGTATAACGCATGTATACACAATTCACAAAATAACAAC